TGTGTTTCTCTTACATCAATGTTGCTCTCTGTCTTTCCCTCTCTCTTCCACTCTCTCTAAAAATCAATGAAAATAAAGACCCCGGTCCTTGTACATACAAAATAAATAAATAAATAAATAAAATAAAAAATCATATCCTTGGGTGAGGATTAAACAACAACCAACAAACTAAGGGGTGAATGCTGACTCAGCAGGGAAGGTTTTGTTCACATGTAGTTGGTAGAAACCACTGAATACAAGTCTGTGTCTCTTTCTCAGGGTGGTAGGGCATTTAGAAGGGAAGTTCCCACATGGCCCTCTGGAGGCAGGGACACTTCACCCAAAGGGCAGTTCCCACATTCATGGCATCCACAGAGTCCAGTGTCAGGAATGTATTCAGGGAGAGAAGCTGGGTTAGCATCTTCAAAAAGGCCAGTTTTCTCTTTCCCCTCAGTGACAGCCGAGGAAGGAAACAGCTACTCTGCACCTCTCGGGCTCCTCCCTACAGGGGAAGAGCCTACCAGACCGAGGAACTAGCAGTCCACTTAGATTTCCTCTCCAAGTTGTTCAGGTGATTAAGGCAGAAGTACAATGGTAAGTCAACCTTGTTCTTTGGTAAGTAAGTGAAGAACGATTCTACTCAGTTAAAACTTTGTAATGTGATCCAACAGAGGAGAATCCTATGGGGTGAAGTAGGAAGTGGCAGGTAAATACAGAGGATGGGGAGCTTGTCTTATCTGTAGGCAGCAAGAGGATGGTGAAATAATAATAACTGACTGAATGAAGATCTGTGCAGCATGATGCTCCACCATTTATTAAACATCACTGAGCACCAGCTGCTATATGCTAGACCCAGAACAAGTTCTTGTCCTCAGGAAGCTGGCGGACAAGATGTATTTGAAAGATGGAAATCAGCCCTCTGTGTAATATGTTATGTGTATTTAAGGGAGTACTTGTTCACAAATATGCAAAAGATTTTGCTTGGGCAAGTTGAGTAAACTGAAAAAGATAATATCACATTAAACACTTTGCACATTTATCATAAAGTTACACGTTAGGAAATTGCAAGAAAGCCTGGGGTAAACTTTTGAAGTCATATGTCTCCCACCTCTAGTTCTCTTTTAAATTTAAAAATTTTATAAAATATTAATAAATATTATTAATTTCAGGTATACAGTATACCAGTTAGACAATTATGTAATTTATGAAGTGATCCCCTTGAAAATTCTAGTACCCACCTGATTTCATACAAAGAAAGTTATTACAATATTTTTGGCTATGTTCCTCATGGTGTACTTTACACCCCTGTGACTATTTTTGTGACTACCAATTTGTACTTCTTAATCCTGTCACCTTTTTTTATCCAGCACCCTCTACTTCCTCCCATCTGTCAACCCTCAGTTCTCTGTATCTGTGAGTCTGTTTCTGTTTTTGTTTTTTTCTGTTCATTTACTTTGTTCTTTAGATTCCAAATATAAGTAAAATCATAAGGTATTTGTCTTTCTCTGGCTGACTTACTTTACATAGCATAATACCCTCTAGGTCCATCCATGTTGTTACAAATGGTAAGTTTCATTTTTTTTTATGATTGAGTAATATTCCATTGTATATAGGTACCACATCTTTTTTTTTAAATTTTAAATTTATTTTAGAGAAAGAGAGAAAAAAGGAGAGGGGGAGAGAGAGAGTAAGAGATAGATAGATAGAGAGAAACAATGATGTGAGAGAGAAACATCAATTGGTTGTCTCCTGTGTGTGTTCCAACCAGGGATCAACCTGGGTATGTGCCCTAACTGGGAATCAAACCTGTGACCTTTTGGTGTATGGATGATGCTCCAACCATTTGAGCCACACCAGCCAGGGCAGTACCACATCTTTATCTACTTGTTTATTTATTTTAAAATATATTTTTATTGATTTAAGAGAGGAAGAGAGAGAGAGAGAAAAAGATAGAAACAGCAAGGATGAGAGGAAATAATTGATTGGCTGACTCCTGCATTCTCCCTACTGGGGATTGAGCCTACAACCTGGGCATGTGCCCTTGACCGGAATTGAATCTGAGACCCTTTAGTTCACAGGCCAGCACTCTATCTACTGAGCCAAACTGGCTAGGGCTCCACTTGTTTATTGATGGACACTTGGGTTGCTTCCATAGCTTGACTATTGTAAATAGTGCTGCAACATAGGGCAGCATATATATGCATATGTGTTTTTGAATTAGTGTTTTGAATTTCTTTGACTATTACCCAGAAGTGTGTGTGTGTTTTTTTAAAAATATATATTTATGTGCTCCTATATTGGGTACATATATGTTTGCCAGGGTTATATCCTTTTGTTGGATCTATACCTATTAGTATTACCTATGTAGTGACTTTTGTTGTGTCTTATGATGGCCTTCATTTTGAAGTCTATTTTGTCAGATATGAACATTGCTATTTCAGCTTTTTTTTCCTTTCCCATTTGCATGGAAATTTCCCCCCCACCTCTTCACTCTCATCCTGTGTAAATCTTTTGTCCTGTGGTGGGACTTTTGTAGATAGCATATAATGGGATCATGTTTTTGTATCCATTCAGCTACTCTGTGTCTTTTGATTGGAGCATTTTAATCCACTTACATTTAAGGTTATTATTGACTAGTAGCCTATTGAAAGAAGATTCCTGCAATAGGGCTTCCTGCTGCACTCTCCCCTGCCTCCCCCTGCTACCCTTCCTTCTCCTGCCCTGCCTGCTTCCCTTCCTTCTCTGCTGCCCTACTTGCTTGCTTCTCCACAGCTTTGCTCCTTTCTGCAGCGCTTGGCTTCTATCTACACTGTCTAGATATGCAAATTAACCCGCCATCTTGGTGGGTTAATTTGCATACTCACCCTGATTGGCTGGTGGGCATGTCTTGGGCGTAGTGAAGGTGCGGTCAATTTGTATATTACCCTTTTATTAGGTGGAATAGGTACTTATTTATTGACATTTGAATTCTGTATGCCTACATTTCTCTATTTCTTCTCATTGGAGCAGTCCCTTTAGCATTCTTATAATGCTGGCTTTGTGGTGATGTACTCTTTTAGCCTTTTTTTTTTTTTTTTTTTTTTTTTTTTTTTTTTTTTTTTTTTTTTTTTTTTTTTTTTTTTTTTTTTTTTTTTTTTTTTTTTTTTTGGTATGGGAAGCTCTTTATTTACCATCTATTTTGAATATTTTGAATCGTAGCCTTGCTGGACATAGTAATCTTGGTTTCAGATCTTGTGTTCTTTATTTGTTGTTTTTTGGTTAATCTGCACCCAAGGATATTTTCTTATTTATTTATTTATTTATTTGTTTGTTTGTTTACTAGAGGCCTGGTGCACAAAATTTGTACAGGGGAGTATGTGTCTCTCAGCCCAGCCTGCACCCTCCCCAATCTGGGACCGTTCGAGGGTTGTCCTACTGCTCAGTAGGATCAGGACTAAATGGGCAGTTGGACATCCCTCTCACAATCCAGGACTGCTGGCTCAAACTGCTTGCCTGCCTGTCTTCCTGATTGCCCCTAACCGCTTCTGCCTGCCAGCCTGATCACCCCCTAACCACTCCCCTGACAGCCTAATTGGTGCCTAACTGCTCACTTGCAGGCCTGGTCACCCCTAACTGCCCTTCCCTGCAGGCTTGATGGCCCCAAACTGCCCTCCTTTTCAGGCCTGGTTCCTCCCAACTGCCCTCCCCTGCTGGCTATCTTGTGGTGGCCATCTTGTGTCCACATGGGGCAGGATCTTTGACCATATGGGGGCAGCCATTTTGTGTGTTGGAATGATGGTCAATATGCACATTACTCTTTTATTAGGTGGGATTACTGACAATCTATAAGCATCTTTTTTTGTTTTGTTCTTAGGTTATTTATTTTTTATTTTTTATTTATTTTTATTGATTATGGCCTCACATAATTGTCCTCATTCCCCCATTCCCATCCCAAACACCTCCCTAGATATGCGCCCCCCCCCCCAACCCCCGTTGCCCATGGCCACTGGCTAGGCCCATATGTCCTTTGGTTGATCTCTTCCCCTTACCCCCATCCTCCCTTACTTTCCCTCTGAGGTTTGAGAGTCTGATCACTGGTTCTCTTTCTCTGCATCTGTTTGTGTTGTTCATTATTTCCTCTAGATGTGTGAGATCATGTGATCCAAGAAATGCCCTTGTAAGAACCTAAACTGCAACAAGCCATAATGGCTGTGCTGAGAGGCAAATGAATCAGTCTGTAGTGAGTTCCTTTCTGGGCCAACAGTTCTTTTTTTTTGGGGGGGGGCAATAGTTCTTTTGAGTCCCAATTTCAATGCCAGATAGTTCCTTATGTATACATATCAGCCATGATATTTCAGATCTGGTTGGTGGACAAATGGTGGAAATGCAGGTTTTCCACACTTTTGCTTAAATCTTCTGGTCTACAGAGCTCATTTTCCAGCTTTGCAAGACATGACTTGACTATCTTGGCTATCCACTTCATTAATTTCTCCATACATATACTAGTAATATTTCTGAAGTGTATTATAAATATATTCTTGTTGAGGATATTTTTTACCAATTTTGAAAGGCTTTCTGCCTTGCCTTGGCTGAAGGGATGTGTAGGATGGTGTAGAGAATATGGAATGCTAAGCTTATAATTACAACTTAAAGATTAAGAAGCTCAGATAAAGGCTAGGGTCAGAAACATTAAGACATAGCAGACGTGTTAGTGGTATACTGAGTTTTTTGTACTCTGACAACATTTCATAAGTCACTTATGATATATGTAAGAAAGCCCTATAGATTTGAGTACAAGGTAAAAAACTGTCTGGGAGGGGATAGCTCATGGAGATCAAGACAGGAGCTGCATTTGCAGAGAAAAAGAGGCAATTTTCCCCTTTCCTCAGGTCCAACTCTTTATATATATATATATATATATATATATATATATATATATATATATATATTGATTTCAGAGAGGAAGGGAGAGGAAGAGAGAGATAGAAACATCAATGATGAGAGAGAAACATTGATCGGCTGCCTCCAGGATGGAGCCCGCAACCCAAGCATGTGTCCTGAGTAGGAATTGAACCATGACTTCCTGGTTCATAGGTCAACATTCAACCACTGAGCCATGCGGGTTAGTCCAGCTCATCTTTTTAAGAGGAGTTTGTTCATTTTCTCATTAAATACTTGTTTCACTTGTTTGTTCCTCAGGGTGTAGATGAAGGGGTTAAACATAGGGGTCACCACTGTGTTGAGCAAGGCCACAGCCTTGTTCCTGTCCTTCCCCTGGTCACCCTTACCCATCCGGATATACATGAAGATGCAGCTGCCATAGAACAGAGACACAACCATGATGTGGGAGGAACAGGTTGAGAAGGCTTTCTGCCTCTCCTTGGCTGAGGGGATGCGTAGGATAGTGCAGAGGATGTGGCCATAGCAGGTGGCCGTCACAGACAAAGTGCCTAGTAAGCTGAAGTTGGCCACAATAAAACCCAGAAGCTCTATCAGACTTGTATCTGCACATATGAGTTCCAGGAGTGGAAAGTTGTCACAGAAGAAATGGTTAATGATATTGGGGCCACAAAATGGCTGCTGAAATACTATGAAAGTTGGAATGATGATGAGGATAAATCCTGTCATCCATGAACAAAGAACTAGATGGACACAGACCCTTTTGCTCATGATGGTGGCATAACGCAAGGGATTACATATGGCCACATACCTGTCAAAGGACATCACTGCCAGTAGAAAGAACTCTGTTGTGCCCAGGAAGAAATACAGGAAGCTCTGTATGAAACAGCCTAGTAGGGAGATGGTCTTGTATCCAGTCAGGATGTTGGCCAGCATTTTGGGGAAGATGACTGAGGTAAAACAGATCTCCAGGATAGCGAAGTTACGAAGGAAATAGTACATGGGAGTGTGGAGGCGCTTGTCCATGAGGGTCATGACCACGATGAGGAGATTCCCCAGTAGAGTGAGGAGGTAGGTTAGGAGGAGGCCCAGGAAGATGAGCATCTGCAGCTCACAGGCATCTGAGAGCCCCAGGAGGACAAACTCAGTGACACTGGTGTGGTTTCCCATGGCTCCTCTGACCTCTGCTGGGATGGCCAATCAGAGGTGTGCAGCATTAGGAGCTGTGATGATCTGGGGAATCTGAGGCCACCTGAAACTGAAAGGAAAGAGGAATGAGTGTCATACTTTGAATAGAAGGAATCCTTTATCTATTTGAAGGACATATCTTTCCACCACTGGCCACCAGGCTTGTTTTGTAGAGACCCTGTCTTATGTTTGGTTCTTGGTGTGTCTGCGAGTTAGAAGAGAAAGTGGTTACCTGCAGGATGACCTAAGTAACACCTCAAACCAAAAATTATCCTTGCTTACTTTTCTTAACCAAATTTCTATCACTGATTCTTCAATGAATTCCTTTGCATTAACATTATAACCTATTTTCAACATTAAAATTTTTTATTTTATTTTTTATTCAATATTACTTTTATCTTTATTCCAATACTGGATTTTCATTCATGAGTAGTTCATATTTGAGGTGATAACTTTTCTGCTTTACTTAGTCATTCATGGTACAAATCCATATCCATGGATAAACTGATTTAGAATGTGTAGACATTCTATTGCTGTTTCAAGATTACCTGAATCTCTGATGCTTTTCATTAGTATTTGCATTAATACAAAGGAAAGAGAAAATCTGTGAAAGAAAAACACAACTCTCACAAACAAAAATATTCAAGAAATATATTATAAATAAAAGTTCTTTAGGGGGAGCTTAGATTCAAGGTTCTTAATGATGTTCCAAAAGATATATCCAAATTCTCCTCTCATTACATCTTCCAATGAGCTCTAGATAAAATAGACTCTGTGATTTTTTTACTATTTATGCATTTCATGCATTTGTACTTTTGCATGTGGCATTCATCCCATGTTTGGAATCATCAGCCATTCAAATCTTATTTATCCTTTAAGTCCCTCCCCCATACATGCTGTTGTGTATTTTTGTTTTTTTTCCAATGGAGACTTTTCTTTTGAATGAATGATTCTTTCCTCTGTATCCCTCACAATGTTATTATATCTCATTAATTTTCATTGTGTTTTGTTTTTCATTTCTTAATGGGTCAAAAACTTATTTATTAATCTTTGCATTTTATATAGCCCTTAGAACAAGTTACTTGAAACAATCAGATTTAATAAACACTTACAAATGAGTGAATAAAACAAATGAGTAAGAGACAGACTTGGTGGTGTTTGACATACAAGAGACGGAGGACATACCACTTATGTAATATTTCCTAGGGGATAGCAACTTTGCAGAATCATACATCTTACATTGACTTATCTGAAGAGAGTTTGCTTTTCTTTATAAAGAGGTGGAAATGTCTCCCCACAAACATTCTTAAGGGATACTCTCCATTTTTGAGATGGCCTAGAGTTTGAGTCAGTAAGTAGACAGTAGTCTGATTGGGTCTGCTAGACTGCCCCTAGCAGCAAAGACTCTGAAAACCCTTTAAAAGATCTCTCTTCTAAAGTCAGCATCCTTGGTGCTCACTTTGGCACCATATTTACTAAAATTGGAATGATGCAGAGATTAGCAAGTCCCAGATTGTGAGAGGGATGTCCGACTCCTAGTTTAGGACCAATCCCACAGGGAGAGTCAGACATCCCCCGAGAGGTCCCAGATTGGTGAGGGTGCAGTTTGGGCTGAGAGACATCCCCCTGTCCAGTGCACAAATTTCATGCACCGGGCCTCTAGTTATTAATAGGTCAACAAACATGTGAAGGCGAGGGCATGGAGAAAAGAGAATCCTGTGCCCTGTTGGTGGGAGTGCAGGTTGGTGCAGCCACTGTGGAAAACAATATGGGGTTACCTCAGAATGGGTTACCTTAGAGATGGAAATTGCCTTTTGACCCAGAGATTCCACTTCTGGAAATACATCTGAAAAAACCCCAAAAACTAATTAGAAAGAATATATGCACTCCTATGTTCATTGCAGCATTATTTATAATAGCTAAGATTTAAAAGTAGCCCAAGTGCCCACAAGTAGAGAAATTGACAATAAAACTGTGGTACATTTATGCAATGAAAAACTACTAGGCTATAACTATAAAAAAGAAGGAAATTTTACTTTTTGTGATAGATTGATGGACCTGGAGAGTGTTATGTTAACTGAAATAAACCAATCAGAGAAAGATAAATACTATGTGATTTTACTTTTAGGTGAAAGTTAATGAACAAAATAAACTAACAAACAAAATAGAAATAGACTCATGGATACTGACAGCTGTCAGAGGGGAGGGTGTTGGGGGCTAAATGATCAAGGTGAAGGGATTAAGAAAAAAAACAACTCAGACAGACAATGGTATGGTGATTACTAGAGAGAAAGGGTGGAGGAGGGAGGTAGAAGAAGGCAGAGGGGGAATAACTGGGGATTAGAACTAGACTTGACTTGTGGTGGTGGTCACACAATACAATATATAGATGATGTGTTATAGAATTGTACACCTGTAATCTATATAATTTTATTAACCCATGTTGCTCCAATAAATTCAATAAGAAAGTTAGCATCCTTGGAAGTTCCTGTCCTTAAGTAATATCAACTACTATTGTAATTACCAGCAATAATTATTTTCCAGCCTCTAGAAAATAAGATTGGGACCCAATTTAGGTACTTGAGATGAAGAAAATATTAGGGAATAGGGATAGGGAGGAAAAAATTCTAAACTGTATATCCCTTGGTTTGCCTTTTTTTTTTTTTTTTGCACTATTCAAAGTGATTTTATAAACTACCATTATACCTAATATTTGTTGATAGTTATTAAAGAACATAAAATAGTCAATCAGCTTCTGAAGATATAACTATTTGCCACTGGTTAATTCTAGGCTCAATGTTGTCTAGATTTATTAGCGATTTGAAAAGGAAGTCTCTGCAGCTTACTAGTGATCATTTGATTCAAAGGTGAGCCCAGGTAGCCAAAAGATGTATCCAGCTCTTTTCAGAACAGAAGCAGGATCCACCAACAAGATCACACTCAGAAACATCATCAGGATCTAGTAGGATGAGTATTATTTAAGTAAAGTCCTGGGTAGGACACACTGAGAGGAAGATGGAAATAGAGACTAAGATGAAGAGTTGGATATGAGTGGGAGGAGAGGAAAAATGCTCTGGGTCATGTTGAATCATGAGCTAAGCACAGATAAATTGTGAAAATACATTGTGACCACCCTGGCTAGTGAGACTCAGTTGGTTAGATCATCATCTGTGCACTGAAGAGTCTCAGGTTTGATACCAGTCAGGGCACATACCCGGATTGCAGGTTCAACCCCAGAGTGGGGTGTGTACAGGAGGCAGCTGATGGATGTTTCTCTATCACATCAATGTTTCTCTCCCTTTCCCTCCCTCTCTCTCTAGAATTGATGAAAATAATGTCCTTGAGTGCAGATTAAAAAAAAAAAAAAAAAAAAAAAAGACATCGTGACCAGCCCAAGTATATAGCACATAGGGCTGCTAATAAACTTTATTTATTTATTTAAAACCAGAGGGCAACAGCTCAGGGCCTTTCAGATACAAAAGGAAGAAAGCCATTTCATGAATCCCAGGCATTTTCTCTTCATCCTACATACTTGATGAATGAAAGGAGAGACTTGCTTGACAACCTGACAGCCTGGACATGGATGCACCATCCACAGACCATTCATTGTTTTAAGGGTCTGTCATGTAGTGCCCAGTGGGAAAGTGGGAGGTTTGTTCTACCATGGCTGGAACTTTATGGTCTTCTGGATTGTTGTAGTACACTTAGAAGGAGGGTGAGATCTTCTCCTTTTAAGAAGGACCAAACATAACAAAACAAAACTCAAAGTTTTTGAGTTTGGGGTTTCTTAAGGTGACAGTTACACAGAGAACAAGGTAGAACAGGCATTAACTTAATGGCTCTGACCAGATAAACTTTGACTTGCCTAGCATTGACCTGGATGGTGGGGCTAAAGTTGACAAATGAGACTAGTGTGTGCACTCAATGTGCCACATTTTATAAAGGAATATAAAAAATGAGTGCCAGCATGACCTCACTCATTTATGGATAATAAAGAACATTATAAACTGATGAACCAAAATATAAATATAGAGACAGTAAAGCAACAAGCAGACTGTCAAATTACAGCAGGGAGGGTAGGGAGATCTGGGGGAGATAATAACAATAGATCAACCGAAGGATTTGTATACATGCATATAAGGACAACCAATGGACACAAAACTCTGGGGAGGGAGGGTATGTATGGGGGGGCAATGTTAAAATATGTACACAGATAATAATTTAATAAAAAAATGTAAAAAAAAAAATGAGTGCCTGGAGGAGGAGGGTTTGAGAAAGCCGGTACTGCTCTGCCATCCCCAGCAGTGCCAAGGTGGAGATTACCCCACACATCCATAGTCAGGTGCCTAGCAGCCCTCTGGGGAAGTCCCAGTCAGCCATCCCAAACACACTACTCACAGGATTGAAGATGATACCTGGTCCTCAGGGGTATTTCTTGAGGTTGTATGTTGTCTTTGGGCTCTAAAAGCAGATCTTATGCTGTTGGTTTGAGGGCTCCTTTTCTCATGAATTTATGGCATTCTCTAAGGACACCTTTTCTTTTCCAAAGTGTCCTGAATGGCCAGCTGTCTTCCTTGGTTAGGAGAATGGTTTCATTGGACTTTGTCATCATTCAGTTTACAGGATCAGATGAATGCAAAAATGTTTCAAAATCTTCCATTTTCAGCAAGCTCATCTTGGGAGCCACCTTGGAAAAGTACAGTTATTTGGTGAAATCCTCCTTCATCCTTCCCTTAGGTCATGCTGGCACTCATTTTTTATATTCCTTTATAAAATGTGGTGATTTTAATGATTCAAAAACATTCATTACACCCTCACATTGGCCCAGTCTCAGTGAGATGGTATTTCTTCTGTGGGCAACGGGGACCCTAGGAGACAGTGGGTGAACTTCTTCTGAAATAAACACATCCCTTTGTGGAGGTGACATCAGGGCTGAAAGATTTTGGTTGCAGCTTTGTTTTCTTAAGGGATCTACTCTTCTCTCA